ACGCCCCTGTTTAAAGCATGGACAAAGTCTCTACGGGAAAAGACTCAAGATAATTCTTTGCGGTATTGATCGAGTGGTAAGAAGGTAAATAAAGCTAGGGTAAAAACGACGGGCGCGAAAGTTACTGGTGAATAAGAAACTGAGTTTCTGATTGAAGAAGTCATGTACACCTCTGAATGAGTATGGATCACAGCAAAGTCTCAGCCTATTCAATTATAGATATTTTTGAATTGTTACTTCGACATCAGGTAAAGTAAACACAATGTCGCTAAATAGGGTGATTTCCAACTGAGTGTGGAAAATAATGCTACTTTGTTTTGGTTTTGCCTTACTTCGCAATATGATTGGTGTAGAACTGAAACTCACACCATACTGTAAATCAGCCAGATTGAAAAGTAAATCCAATCGCGATCTTGGTTTATTGCGTTTTCTCACGCTTAGGGCAGATAACCTGTTGTTACTCCTCCTCCTGATTATGCTCCTTTGACTTTCCTTTGATTTTGGTTTTACAACACTCAACTGAAATGCCCTCTAAAAGAAAACCTAGTTCACTGGGCATATTTCAAAAATAGAATTAACGTTCAACCACTAAATTTTTTCTTCGTCTCGTTTCTGATTCAACACTGTATTATCTCCTTTACAAAGAGTCCTGTTCATTAAATGGCTTTCCGTTTTTCCTCTTATGACTGACACTCCCAGTAGTGCATGTAGCAATACATCGTTGCTTCTCCAGTTGTTAGGGTACCTTCGCAAGAGCATTTGTAGGTTCTTTTTCCACCTGCGATGCTGCTTGTCAATTTAGCAACTTTCGCGTCGTTTGTATCACAGTTTACGCCAATAAAGATTTTACCCTGGCAGGAAAAGAACATAATAAATATGATACTGATGATGATGATAAATAACGTCACGAGTTCGAAATGTGGATGAGCAAAACATTTCTCTCCTCTTCAATGGGTGTACACACGACGTCGCATCAAACAGAATCAAACAGAATTAACTTCACAATCTTTTACTAAACTTACGTTTTGTTCTGTCGCCGTAGTTTGTTGTTGGGCGATCGAGTTTGCTGCCATACCAGTGCTACTTAAAGTCTTAAAAACACAGGAACTGGCCCCGGGTCCAGGTGGACCCTGGGTACCATTTACCCCAGATGGTCCACGAAGACCCTGAACACCAGGTATTCCAGACGGTCCTGCAGGGCCTTGAGTACCATTATATCCCGGAGGTCCAGGAGGTCCGGCAGGTCCGGCAGGTCCGGCAGGTCCAGCAGGTCCAGCAGGTCCGGGAAGTCCAGTATCACCCTTTGTACCATTATATCCTGGAGGTCCGGCGGGTCCGACAGGTCCAACGTCCCCATTAGAACCGTTGACTCCAGGTGGTCCCCTGACGCTCGTGCTGCCAGTAGTATTTTTCACCTACTCAATTGAAAAAAAGCAACAACAACAATGATATTCACAGTAACCATTACCATGATGGTAACAATGAAAATGATGACAATTGTAATGACAATGCCAATTGCCGGAATTTACAATGAGAATGACAGTGTCAATGACAATGAAAGTGACAGTGTCAATGACAATGAAAATGAAAGTGAGAGTGACAGTCAAAGTAACAATGATAGTGACAGTCACAGTTACAGTCACAGTGAAAGTGAAAATAGAAGTGAAAGTGAAAGTGAAAGGTCAGTCAGAGGTTGATTCGAAATTCGGTACGAAATGGCACCCAAAAATACATTCAAGTATATGTACCTTTTGATCCAGTTGCACGATTCTTTGTTGAAAATGCAGAAACCTCTCATTTACGCTTTTATTCAGACCAGTCAAACTTTGGGCAGCATCCTGTACTACGAGACGGATATCCTCTAACTCTGTATTTTTGCCCTGAAAAATAAAACGGGCCAAATTATTGTGTTAGAGAATTAGTGGGCCTACTAAAGTTGGTGAAATAAGTAGA